TGATAGGAGGTTTACTTGAAATCTTCAAAAGTTTAGTTTTATGACGGCAAGTGGAGATGTCCTTAGTTGCCTACTACTCAACATGCCAAAAGTCCTATTTCATTCCCATTGATTAAGAAAACTGCAAAGTTGTAAGTAGCTGATAGAATAATTGGTTTAACATTATCCTCTGAGCAAGATCAAGTTAAGAGACAAGAAAACTACAATCACTTTTGAGTTACAATCATACACAGAAACCAAAGGTATACAAGTTTGTCAAGTCCACATACAAGCTTAAGAAAGCAACAACAATAAGAACCATTGCAAAAATGAAGTGCCTTGTGCTTAAGAATTAATGCCCCTTATTGACAATTTCAATGCAAAACAAGGCCAAACGAATGATATTCGGTATGATTATTTTTTTCAATTATTATTATTATTATTTTTGACAATTGGAACAAATTTTAGACCCAATGATAGAAAATATTATCACTTTAATGAACAATTTTCATAAAAAACGAAGCCAAACGGATACCAAACTTTCAACATATTCCATGAAATAACAAAGTCAAATGAATTGTATTCGGTATGGTAATTTTTTTATTTTTTTTTGGCAATTGGAACAAATTCTAGACCAAATGGTAGAAAAAATTATCACTTTAATGGACAATTTTCATAAAAAACGAAACCAAACAGACACCAAAATTTCAGCATTTTCCATGAAAAAGTATATCAATCAAACACAATTAATTACAAGTCTCGGTAAAACAATTTCTAGACAAATAAATTCCCTGTAATCATATTCTTTCCACCCATTTTCCACATTTGCAATCAAACGTACCCTAACATTCATTGTGGTAGTCGACTTCATTGTAACGCCATAAGTGCTCCTTTTAATGTAGATTAAAGGATACAAAAATGGGTGCAAATCGAACCTTTCTATGTCAACTGATGATGATGATGATCATAATAATAATAATAAGGCACAATTTCATTATCAATGTTTCGCTGGTTAAAAAAAACAACAAAAACAAATTGCAGCATCGGTTCCAAAAATCATCACAATAGCAACTTTCAAAACTAAGCTAATAATTCATTTCAGGTTGTCAACTCCATGATGGCACTGACTATGTCTCCATTGTGAGTCTTGAGAGCCTTGACGGCCTTACTCCTCGACACCCCTGCTTGGGTCATGACCAGATCGATGTCACGAGCCTCGACACCAGTCTCATCAATCTCTTCCTCTTCCTCTTCCTCGTCTGCCTGTGTGGCAGCAGCTGCAGTAGATGCATCAGGTTTTGCGATCATAGAACTCATGTCTGGCATCCTGAATTGTTGGGCAGCCTGCGTCTGTAGCTGAGAGCTCAAATCCTCTATCTTAGCCTCCCCAAATATGACATAGGTCTCAGAATTTGGGCTTTTGAAGACATCAGGTTTTGAGATGAAAAACAATACCTGCAGTATCATGATTTTGTCAAAGGCTTAGAAGATTAGAATATCTGCATCAATAAATTAGATATATCCATGATACCTACAATATCTGCAAATTAGTTAGAGCCACAGAATGAACGCGGAATTAGACTAAAAACTTACATTTTTGGTTCTCTTAATGGTGACACGACTAACACCAGTAACAGGTTTCATTCCAAGTTTCAACACCGCCTTACGACTCTTCTTCTCACTTCGGCTTTGTTTAGAACTTCCATTTGTCCCTGTGATGAATTTTCTATCAAAATAAAACAGAGAAGAAAACTAACTTGACAAATAAGTCAAACACTCAAGTTATTTCTAGACTTCATAAGCCGAAGAAATAATTAACTATTGTTTTAAAGACACGTCGATACTAAACACAAAGAATGCAGAAAATTTACAGAAATTTGCACACATTGCAGAAATTGCCAGGACATTTGCAAGCAAAATGAACCAACAAATTGGCTGAAGGATTTGCTTTGTTGGTATGAGCACGATTCTAACAATCTTTGTGTCTTCTCAATGAGGTGCCAACATTTAGACTCGTCTTGATTCACATTCTTTCAAAATACGAAAGAACCCCAGAAGATTTTGGAAATTTTAACAGATAATTAGACATGTAAATAGTTTCATGAAGTTGGGAGCTTAAAGATCAAAAACAAGGGGTGTCCTGAACTCATTAACTTAATACAGTATATGCAACAAAAAATCCAATATCATCATGAAGTTTAGTTGCATTGATGCACACAATGGACTAATATATCACAAAACATGTTCCTGAAATAGCTCAATGACCACGACAAAATCATACATTAATTAAGAAAAACTTATTACTGTGACAATAATGCATCATAAAGGACATTATTTATTACTTGGATAACATAGGGCATCTCAGTAGATTTTTTACTATATGGTTTTCCCTTTTATTCAGGCCATCTCCAACCCATTTCACTGAAATAGTGCAACGTTCACGTCAAAATGGTGCAACTTTCACACCATCTAATTTAGTCATCTCCAACTTATTACACCAAATAAACAGTGGTTCCTTTGTTTCCTTATATTTTGCTTCTCAATAATTAATTTATTTCAAAAATTATTTAATTACAAATTCTATTACTACTAAATCACTAATTCAAATATTACATTTAATTAAGAGCATGTTAGACACTCTTTAATTTATTTTATGGTTTGATACATGACCATTTTCAACTATATATTCACACAAGAAATTATTCTACACGTACACCAAAAACTTTTTCCTACTTTTAACCACACATTCCCCTAAAAATCACTATTCAAAACTCATGTCTCTACCATAATGGTCGTCAAACTGGCGCTAAATAATGTATTGCCTTAATTAATAAATTAAAAAAAAATATTTTATTTTATTGTATTAAATAGTTATTATTCATTAATTGATTAAAATTTATCATAAATGTTAATAAAAATAATAATGAAATTAAAATTATATAAATTAAATTAAATAAGTACTAAAAAGGATATAATAGGAATTAAAATTTGTAGTATAAAATGAAGGACAAAATGTAAAATAAGAAAAACTATATAAATTAGAACAATTCAAATGAGCCAATGTGGTGTCAAGACCTTCTGCCCTGTTTGGCACGACTTTTGAAAAGCTACAAGAGTTTAAAAGTAGCTTTGGATCCATTTGACTAATTTTATGAAAGTTCTTTTGCCCGTCAGAAGAGCTTTGCTTCCTCTCATAGCACTTCTCAAATAGGAAGTGCTTTTAAAAATTGCTTTTCGAACAAAATTTAAGCTAGCATCCTCCAAACGGGCCAGAAGTTGGATTGAAGGAGATTTTCACACCAATTTAACATTTTTAAGCCAAATTGGTGCAAGGGTTGCAGTTGCTGGGATTAGCTTGACCCAGCTGCGGACATGAACAAACGGAATAAAGAAATCAAAATTCTGTGATTAGGTTCTGAAAAAAAATATATATGCTTAAAAACGTAAACATTTCCGGGTCATTACAAATTCCAGATATTTATACATCAATTAGAAGCACACGTCAAAAAATTAGGCAATAAGCAGTAAACATTTAAGAACTAAATACAGGGCATTCATAGTAGAAAATAACAATGACCATTAAAGAAATATAGAGAAGAAAAATGACCTGCAACACCATCTTCCTTGTCATCGTCCTCATCATCAGAGTCCTCGGCGTCATCTTCGTGGTCCTCATCGTCCTTCATGTCCACCACCACAGGCTCATCCATCTATCCATTAACAATAATAAACAGACTGAGATTCAAAACAAAGAATACATATATCAAAAGAAGGAAAAATCTTAAACGAGTACCTGAAGCTTTTTCTCGGTCTCAATTTCTTCAATGACGGGGCCTGGCATGTTTGCTTGATTTGCTTCCGACTGTGATGAAGGTAGATTTCGTTAGCTTTTGGGGAAATGAAGGTGGAGTAATAGGGGTTTTTATTCTAGGGTTGCCTAATTTTGTTCTTAGCCTTTCAACTCAATCATTTCTAACGTGTGGCCCGTGTATAAGTGTATCTAATCCGGCTCTGGGCTTGAATTATCTAATCCAGGTCTGGGCTTGAATGAGAAGAAATTACATAAATTCAGGTAATTAAAGATTCCTTTTTAAAAATAAGTTGCAAAATTTATTTATTCAAAAATCAGGTAATATAAAAAACCTAACCCTAATCCCCAAACAAACCCTAAATCTATTCTCTCCTCCCCTCTTCGATTATCGTCACACTCTCTCTACCATCTCCCTCTCCCTCACAGTCGTCGCTATTGAGGAGCTCCTGTCGCCGGAGAGTCGACTAGCGGTGATCAACCTCGCGCAAATCTCCCTCACCGCCATGTGAGATTCCAACCTCACACAGATCTCTCTAATTTCTTGGGCGAAGTACGTGAGTAGAAACGTCAGGGCCTTGAATCTCACCCGCCAGACTTGTTATCCAGCCACTCTGGTTTCACACCGACGCAGATCTCTCTAATTTTTGGAAAGAAATGTTATCCGGCCACTTTGGTTTCACATCGGCGCCGCAATTTTTGGTGGTGTTTTTGTGCTATGGTGTTGCTCAAAGATATTTAGAGCGACGTGTGGTTTTCAGCAGTGGCGGAGTGGAGGTGTGGTAGTGGTGCTGCGGTGGGGGTGTTGATGCTGGTTGTAGTGGTGGTGGTGTTGCGTCAAGCTACGATGTGTGGTTGTATGCGGTAGTACTGGTGGGTGGGTGCGGGTACTGTGGTATTGACGGCGTGGTGGCGGCACTGTGGGTGTGTGGTGTTTTGATGTTATTGTTAGTGGTGGTGTGTGGTTGGATGCGGTGGTGGTGGGTGTGTGTGCTGTGGGTGCGGTGGTATTGACGGCGTAGTGGTGTCACTGCCGGTGCCAGTGTGGTGTTGTGATGTCATTGTTGGTGGTGGTGATAGTGGGGGTGGTGGTGTCGTGGTCGTGGTCGCGGTGGTAGAGGCGACGGTGGGTTGAAGAGTGTTTGTGACCACTATTTGGTTGATTTGTGACCAAACAATGGTGGTGAATCGGGATTGGAGTTGAGTTTTTGGTGTATGTGACCTATTATTTGTTTATCTGTAACTAATTGTTAAATCGTGACCTTAAAATCTAATAATTTGTGACCAAAAATTTGAACATATGTGACCGATACATAAACTGTAACTTATAAATTTTTCGATCTGTGACCAATGAAATAAATTGTGACTTGTAAAATTTTTATTTGTGACATCGAAATAATTCGTGACCAATTAATTTGATAATATGTGACCAATAAAAAAGTTGTGACGTACAATTATATATCCGTGACAATTAATTATAGAACTGTGACTTTATTATATTTAATTAATAAAAACATTTCAATAAATAAATAAATACCTAATTTTTGTATTTTAAAACTTAAAACCTAACAATTGAATTGGTGATACTTAACACCTGATTTATGATTGTTGTTCCCCCTTGAATTAAGGGTATCAAAAGATGATTAGTCTAAATGTACATAATTCATTACATAATGGATTACACCAGCCTCACATAAAGGGGGGCCCACATACAATAAAATATTCGTGAGCCTCGCCTCCATGTGAAGGGGGTGTAATCCATTAGATAATAGATTGAGTGTACATCAAGCACAACCCGTCAAAAGAATATCGCTATCCAGCACAATTGACGCTGAAATATCAGTTTAGATGGTCACTCTTTAAATGCAATTAAATGAATGTTTTGATTTTGTATTTAAATGAACCTATCATTTATTAACATCTGATTGTCATCCGACCGATGCTAAGCATCAGTTATGTTAAATAGCATTATTCGTGTCAAAATATCATTCTCCCTCCTCCTTTGCTAGGAATTGTAGCATCTTTTCAATTTTTTGAAGAGTAATGTTATTTAGTCTCACTTAGATTACAATCACAATATCGGTGGCGTTAATGTAATATTAAGTGATATGTAAAATTAAATAAGTCATTTAATTATACATTTTATTTAGCCAATTATCTAACGCTACCTAAATTGAGGTTGTAACCCCAATATTGTTAGATAACATTACTATTTTTTTAAATATAAAATATAGCTTTATAAAAGAGAAATAAATAAATGGGACCAAAAATTGTGATATTTTATTTCGACTGCACCCCCAAAAATCCCTTGAACCAAATAAAATGCTAATATTGAAGTAATTAGAACTTCACTTGCTCGTCATCACTGGATAGGACCTCAGTAACTAGGATTGGGAATCGTTTGAGCAGCCATGTAACCACTAGTTTGGCTTGTGTCCATGGCCATGGCTCGATTCGACCCATAAGGTCGTGAGTTTACAAGTCAAGTCAAACGAGCCACGAGCTACACAGAATTTTTTTAAATGCTTTTAAAAATTCTCCTTTTTTAAAGTTTGGGACTGGTTAATATTAACAAAAGTTTTTCACATAAAGACAAATAAGATAACACATTTATACATTTTATCATATGATGTACGCATGAAAATGATAGGAGGTTTACTTGAAATCTTCAAAAGTTTAGTTTTATGACGGCAAGTGGAGATGTCCTTAGTTGCCTGCTACTCAACATGCCAAAAGTCCTATTTCATTACCATTGATTAAGAAAACTTCTCCAAGCTCATCATTTGATATATTATACTATACTAATTATGTGTTATCTTATCTTGAATACTACTTTAGCATTTATCAACTACTGAAAAGAAGTGGCCAATAAGCCATATCAATGCATTTTAAATTCACACAAATAAAGAGATTACTTTGAGTACATTTGAAATTCACACAATTGAAGAAAATAATTTAAATTTCATATGTTTTGAAATTAATATTCGTGTCCATGGTTCCACTATAATGAGATGCAGAATCACACTATTGTACTCACATCTCAAATTCAAAACAAGAAATTTACTAAAGATTAAAAACTGTAATGATGAGTTGAAGAGAAATTCTAGTAACATGCATTAAAATGGGTTAGAGTTCACAAGACTTGAAGTTGGGGGATAAAATATGAACCATTGACCAGCAATTGAAAATAAAAATTTCATTTCTGCGTGAATACAGCTTACTTGGGGGCATTTTTGGCTAATCTGAAAAGTTTCCTAATAAGTAAGAATTTCAAATAATTACAATAGGAAATCAAACACTACAACAAAATTGTGACTTCGCGATATACAAAAGTTGTCGTAATAAGTGACTTAACACGACACAATTTTCAAAGTTTGTCACGAAGATTGTGATGAAAAAAATAAGTACCAGACATAAAAAGTTGTGAAATGTGAGGAATTGCGACAAATAATAAAGAATGTCGCCAAAAATATGAGGGAAGCAAGGCACCAAAATATTTTGGTAGGAAACTTATGGCTACAAACTTTTAGTTCTTGCAGTAGGATCTACTTTTTGTGATAAAAAATATTTATAGCTAAAAATTCTATAATTGGAGGAAAAAATCACTACAAGAAAAACAATTATTTGCAATTGATAAAAAAAAAAAGTTACAGTTGGTTTTTACAACGTTCACCCGTATATTGTAGGCTCTAATGTTGTCGTACACTAGAAAGATACGATAACATGCAACACGCTGCAAAAGTCCTCAAATATACGTTGTTGTAAAGTTTTTATAATGTACCTCGTCCGTTGCTTTAATTATATTTTGTAACACTCTTTGCTTATTGTTTTAGCTTCTTTTTGCAACGTTATTTTTGTTGTAACAAATGTTTGTTTTTTCGTCTTGCTAAATTTTAATATATAATACAAATTTTTTAAAATTTTAATTATTTTTTATCAAGAGGAAAATTTTTATAATAAAAGCTTTATAAAATTTCTAGAAAACATTTATCTCCAACAAAAAATCATTAGACGATTAAACTTTCAATCACATTATAATTTACATAAAGAACTACTAGGTAGTACCAATCTATAATGAAAAATAGATGTCTCAACACTTAAAGCAAATAAATAAACAAATCATAATTCATATTTGAAGTCCTAAAACTTTTTCTCTAATCTAATTAATTTTGATGTTTATATTAGGTAAACAACTATGGGATTTACTCAACCGGATGATGTATCAACTCCATGATATTAATGATCCAGGTAAGTTAGATGTGTATCCATATGTTGAGCTTTCTTTCTTTCTTCATGTGGTCTAATAATGAAAATAATTCACAGATTTCTATTCACTTTACAGGTAATTGTCAAGATGAAAGTTGTTTCTGGGTCCAAAGATGTAGTTGTAGCTTCTGAAGCCAAGAGAGCTCAAGCACAGTGGGTTGTTTTGGATAAGTAGGATATGTTTATATATAAACTCTAATTTATGTCTAGGTTACATATTTTTTCCTTTGCTGGAATAAAGGTATTCCATTTGTGGAAGATAATGTCTTCAATAGTTGGACTGATTCTTGTAATGGAGTTTTATTTATGTTGTTTTGAATTTTGTAACGAAGGAATTAAATGGATATATTTGCAATTTTAGTTAGGTTACATATTTTTTTCCTTAGCGGGAAGAAAGGTATTCCATTTGAGGAAGATGGTGTCTTCAATAGTTGGACCGATTCCATTTGGCAACATTTATACATCGTTGCTCAAGTGATGAATCGATAAACTCTCCGTGTTTCAAAATAAATTTAATTACAAACATCACTTGTTACATAATAAATTGTACTACAAATGTTGAATATCTTAAAATATATTATGTGACATATCGAATGCATTGTAAATCATATTTGGCGACAGATATGACTTGCTATTAAAGATATATTACTATGAGCATGTGCGTTGCAAAATAGAATAGGTAACAAAACTTGTACTTTTAAAATTATATTCGCAACAAATTGACTTGTCACCCTTTTAATTTTTCGCGACAAATATGAGTGGCGATG